GGGGTGTGCTCCCCTGGGGTTCCTGGGGCTTTCTGTTTTGTTGCGGTGGCCTCGCCCGTTCCCTGGCTTGGGGCCCCCCTGGGGGCCGGTGGAGTTCGGGGTGGGCGAGGGGGCTCTTACTCCCCCCCTGTCTCTCCCCGCAGGCCGGGCCGCGTCCCGATGCCGAGCAGGGGTGGTGGCGGGGGGTACCCACTCGGGGAGGGCCTCTTCCAGTCATCTCTCATCGCCTCGCAGCTGCGCCCTGCGGTGGCATCCGGGATGTGCTAGGACGGGCGAGGCCCCAGCGGAGGTGAGCGGGAGCTCTCGCGCTGTCCATCCCCACTCTGCGGCACAGGTTCCGCCCGGCACGGGTGGCCACCAGGGCTGCCCTGGATGGATCCCCCTGTCCCCTTCGTCCTGGGTCGGGACCCCAGCAGTAGAGCCCTCCTATTCTGGGATATCCCGCTCCCAGGTATTCGGGGGCTGGTACTGCTGGGCCTTCCTGTGGTTGAGGTGGGGCGGGGAGGGTGCCCCAGGGGAGGTACCCCAGGGAGTCTCTCGGACCAAGTGGCGCCGTGGCGTTGCGGTACTAGACCCCCGCGACAGGTGGTGAGCTGCCCCCCCAGCCATCCCTGAGTGGGAGGTGCCGCTAAAGAGGCAGTGCCCGCGGCCTCACCAGACTGCTTACCCAAGCCACCACCACCACCACCACCTCTCCCTCTCCCTGTCTCCCGCCTCCGTTCCCCCCGCCTCCTGCGCCAATCCCGCTTGCCGATGGGATCCGTGCTCGAGAGCCCTCGCACGAAAAGCGCGCGGGAGCGACTCGAGCGTGAGCGAGCGCGACGCGTCCGTGCCCTTGCGCCCTGGACGGCCGACACAAGCTTAGGCGTCGGGCTGTTCGACCGAGCGCAGTGGGCACGTGCATGCCGATGCCAGCAGGACCCAGCGTTTTGTCCCTTCAGCCTTGCACGACGAATGGCATTGACAAGTCGAGGCGACTTGGCACTCAGCACGCTGCGTGACAGCTCGCAGTCGAGAGTAAGTCTGCAGGAGTCGTGAGAGTCAGGGGCGTGACGCACCGGGCCGACATTGCATCTTGCCTGCCATGGCCCAGTTGTGCGCGTGCTCACCCGCGGTGGATCGACCCACGACGCTCACGGCTCACCGCAGATCACTGCGAGATCCAGGGACGGAAGGAAGAGGTTTGGGTGTAGTTAGGAGGCCACACGAACCCCACCCCACCACCCCACGATCTCTAGGGGGGGAGGTAGGTTCACTTCGCTCGGGAGGTCCCGAGCGAAGTGAACCCCATAAACCTAAGCTGTTGGGGCTCAGCGCGGATTTCGTGGATCCGCGCCAGACCCCCCTCCCTGGCGCGCGAGCGCGCGCCAGGGGCGGCGCCGGAGGCGCCGCCCGGGGGGTGGCCCAGCGCGGATCCAAGAAAACCGCGCCGACACTTTTTTCTGCCTCGAGATGGGGCAGGGGAGGCTGTGCGAAGATCGCATGGTCGTTCTGGAGCCTGCACCTCAGCGGACCCGGCACCGCCTCCCGCACAGTTGGTGGGAAGGCCGCGGGGAGGGGGCACCCCATGCGTCGGAAGCGGACCGTGCGCTCTGCATTAACCTACGCAGCCCCGTGGCTGGGCGAATTCGCGCCGCGGGTCGGGCGTCCTCTTGCCCCCCCCCTCTCCTGCCCCTCGCCCTCCTCGGTCCAGCTCCCTGCTCTGCCCCTGCCCCTGCCCCCGCTCGTGCCACCTGGCGCTGCTCCTGCTCCTCCGTGCCCCCCACGCTCCTTCTTCTCGCTCGCCCCCTTCTCCCCCTCCCGCTCCTCGTCTGAGGGGGGATAGCTATGGAGGTGCCGATCCCGCTGCTCCACGGGCTTCTCCTCGGGTGTTTCCTGACTAGGCTTTCCAGGCGAGTCCAGCTGTGGCGACAGGGGAAACAAGTGGTTCTCGACCAACAGCAACTTACGAACGCCTGCCTGGAGGAGGTCCTGACGGGGGACAAAGCGATCCCAATCCCCCACATCGTTGGTTTCCGACGGGGCCAGGGACATTCGGGGCCCCACCTCGGTGGTGTACAATGGGGGGCGTCGTGTGTCAGGACAGTCCCCCCCCCTCCCTGGAGAGTATCCCCGAGTTTCTCCCTCTCTTCTGACCGGTCTGCCTCCGGGGGGGAGAACTCGCGGCAAGGGTACGAGAACGGCGCCCATGCACCGTACCATGCCTGCTGGACTCCGTTCAGGCCCCGCTCCAATCCAACGCGGCACGGTGCATAGCTTGCTCGGCTCCAGGGGGCCAGGAAACTATGCACTGCACCACTACTGGGTCGAGGATCGACGACGCCTCAAAGAGGCGCCAACGCGGTACGGTGCACACACGCCGTCCGCGGAAAGGGGGGGTCGACCCGGGGGAGGGAGCCTCGCCATGGAAGCGGCGATATACGCCGTCGACACAGCTCGGCTGTACGGACTCTGCGACGCTGCCCTGGAGGAAGCGCCTCCCCGGGGGCCTCAGACCTTCCCGGAAGCGCTTCCTCGGGAAGCGCTTCCCGAGGAGGCGCTTCCCGCAGGACCAGGGAAGCGCTTCCCGAGGACGCCCTACCCCGGGTCCTGCGGCATCGCGCCCGGCGCTTCCCAGATCCCCCCCCCTCCCGGACCTCCACCGACACGCTTCCTTGACCTCCGCGGCCCCAGCCCTCCCTGCACGCACCGCCCCCGGGGGGCAGCATGCTCTTGCCCCAGGTCCGCTGCTGCTTGCCTTCGGTCGGGCAGGTCCTCTTACAGGCGGCTTCTGGAAGAACCATACAACATAGTCAAACAAGAATTTTTAATACACTAATCGTCAAAATATGGTCCCCTGGCAATTTCTTCTAGGTATATTTTTTGCTGGATATATGTTTGAATGCTCCTCCTGTGGAGGGACAGGCCCGACTCCATGCTTGCCCCGGGCCCGGAGAGCGGCCCCCGCGGAGGCCGACCTCGAGGGACACCGCCCGGACCACAGCCACCGTCGGAACGATCGTCGGAGGCCTTCGCCCCGCGCTTCCCCCAGAGGTCCCCAGCGCGCTCCACTTTGGCGGCGCGCACAAGGGGGTGAAGGCAGGGCGCCGGCCTTACGTCTGTAGAGAAGGCCCGCGCCTTCTAAGAAGCAGGGGTGCCTCTAAGAAGCCCTCCCCCCTCCCACCACCCCCCTCTGCGCGTGGCTGACCACGACTCGTAAAGTAGCTACCCGCAAATGGCCTGGATCCGGCGCGGGAGATTTACGATCCACTACATGTCTTGGATCGTGATGAATCGTAAATGATTGACGGCTCATGATTCGGACTACATGAATCATGATTCATGTAGCCTGGCCATAAACATGTCTCCCTTTCAGAAAGGAAGACATGCTTTTCGCCGGACGTTCGCGAGTAGGCACGGTGACAGAGATCGCCCCTCCTCCTCGCCCGGTCGGAGGCACGTTGCGAGGCATGCCGACTCGCAACGTGCGAGTGGGCACGTTGCGAGTCGTGGACATCGCTCGGTGACCAGAGATCCCCCCTCCTCCTCGCCCTCCTCGGCGCGTTGGGGGGCCGGCCGGGCCGGCGTTTGCCGGCCGGCGGCCCCGATAACTATGGTCGGGGACGCACTGGCCTGGGCCAGCGCAAGCCTCACTGCGCCGACCTCGCAAACGTGCTGCAGCGGATTCTTGCGTGGACTTCTGTCCCCCCCCTCCTCCCGAGACGGTGAGCGAAAAACGAAGTGACCTTCACGTTGATTTGTGTTTCGTCATCTCCCTTCCTGGACAGACGCCTCCGCGCGAAATGCACTTTGAAATCCGGAACGACACTCTCAAAGGACAATCCGGGCCCATCCTGCTGCCTTCCGAAGGAAGTCCGCTCGGCGATGTTGGCGCCATGGCATGCCCGGGTCAGTCGGGCTCTGCAGGGCCCTGCAAACTCCTGCAGGAGCCCGCGGGATCCTGCGCGCTGGCCCGGGTCAATGCCCCCCTGGCTCTGCAGGATCCTGCACCCTCCGGCACTCTGGCTGGCTGGGGCTCTGGCTGGCTCGGGGAGACCAAAAGGTACCAACACCCCTACTCCCCGGACCTCACCCGAGGTGCGTTCTGATCCAGATTTCGAGGCGACTCCAGCGGTGGTGACGAGGGCCGCCCAGGAGGCCCACAAAGAGGAAAACGAAGCAAGGGTAGGGGTATGGTTAGGTCGGGCGTGTCCTCCTACAGGCGGGTTTTGGACGAAAAACAAACAAATGTCAAACCAATACCCAGTAAATATCTAAACATATGCCCAGCACATTGTACCTGCACTATGTGTTGACTATGTTTGAATATTCCTCCTGTAGAAGTACAGGCCCGACTTAAAGGTATGGGTACCTTTTCCTCCGCTCAACTACACGCAAGAGTGTCCCTGGGTAGGAGTGACCTTTGTGCGCGGCTTTGTGGGGCCGCGGGGGGACCAAACACTAACGCGCAAGACGCTACTACCGCATCGCGCATCGCGCATCGCGCTCAACGATCGGGGGAACCCATTGGACCCGCACTAGAAGGTCACTCCGGCGGAAGGTCACTCTTACGTGTGCACGTCGTTCATATCTGATCGTGCTCATTTCTAATTGTGTTCGTTTCTGATTGTTCCTGGCCCCCATAGTGGCCAGGAAAGAGGCCCAGGATAGAATAATTAGAAATGAAAGGATCTTGGCCCCCCAAAAAATCAAAGAACTCTCGAATACTTAGAAATGAACAACGTGTAGGTGTAGCCGATCCTCCGATGGCCGAGCCCCGTTGGCATGGACTCCCGTCCCTACGGTGGGGGCACTGGATAAGGAACCCTTAGATAAGGAATCCAAGGTTTGGAGGCCGGTGGCTCTCCAACTGAGGCTTGGCCATGGTTATTAGTCGTCGCTCTTCTCAGATAAGGAACCCTCCCTGGCACATTCCTGGCACGTTCCAGGGTCTGAAGCCTTCCTGGCACGTTCCTCAGCCAATGCCCCCACCGTCTTGCCAGCTCGACGCAGGCTGCCCCTCAGGCCGCCGGCGCCAGCGACCAGCCCGGCTGGTTCAGGAGGGTCGCCTCGGCACGTGCTCGCCGCGCGGGCGCTTCGGGAGGAGGCGGCGCGGGAGCAGGAGCAGGAGGAGGCGGAGGAGGACCAGTGCAAAACCCAAGAGTCATCAACGATGTTGGAATGAACCCTCCCTCCAAGCTCCCTCTTCGTAGGCCCCTACAACGCCTCATTTCCATCGAGGGGGCTGCCCTGTTGGAAGACAGCCGTTTGAAAATCCTGAAGCGTGCCGAAACATTGCTCTCGGGATTTCAACGCCACGAATCAACCTGACTGCTGCGTTTTGACGATCCGGAATCGCTGCAGAACGCCATGTGGGATTTCAGCACCGCGAATCAACATAACTGTTGCGCCCGCATAGTCCTGAATCCTTTCCAAACCACCATTTCTGGTACGTTGATCATGGGAACCCGTGAAACGATTGCAAATGTTTAAAACGAGTGTGCGCGGCGCTAAGGCGAGAACCACATGTTGAAAAGGAACCGCCCTCTATCCGTGAAAGTCTTGCACATGTTTGAAACGAATGCGCGCGGCGCTAAGGCGAGAACCACATTGTGAAAAGGAGCCGCCCTCAATCCGTGAAAATATTGCACATGTTTGAAACGAATGTGCACGGCGATAAGGCGAGAGCCACATTTTGAAAAGGAGCCGCCCTCAATCCGTGGAGCTCTTGCAAATGCTTAGAACGAATGTGCACGGCGATAAAAACGAGAGCCACATTTTGAAAAGGAGCCGGCCTCAATCCGTAGAACCCTTGCAAAAACGGATGTGTACGGCGCTGAGGCGAGAGCCACATTTTGAAAAGGAGCCGGCCTGAATCCGCGAATCTCTTGCACATGTTGAAAACGAATGTGCGCGGCGCAACGGCGAGAGCCACATGTTGAAAGCGACCCGCCCTCCATATGTGAAATTGTTCTAACGGTTTAAGCTTCAGAATCGTTAGTGGTGAGGACGTCTCAGGCGAAACGCCCAGCCCGCCCTAAAAACTGGCCTCGGGTGCGACAGGGAGAAGTTATAAGGAGAAGGAAAGAAGGAGGAGGAGGCGGATGCGCAGAAGGATGGAGGAGGAGGAGGAGGAGGAAGAGGAGGAGGAGGAGGAGGAGGTTGGAGCGTCTGGGGGGGGGCGCAGTCCAGCTCCAGCCTACTTACCACATCTATGCTTTACACATGCATCGTGCCTGACACTGCGATTACGATGTGCAACGTCGTCTAGGTGCGCGCGCATCGAGGAGGAGGGGCGGAGGGCAAGGAGGTCGGAGCGGCAGAGAAACGCGGGGAAGGGGGAAGCGCGGGCGGGCGGCAGCTCACAACCCTCCTTCCGCACGGGGAGGGAGATGGCCTTGGCCTTCTCCTGGAGCGTCAGCAGGTCCAGCTCGTCGGGGAGCTCCATGGTCGCGATGTGCAGGCGCTGCTTCTCGGAGCCAGCGAGGGAGAGCATCGCGGCGCTGGCCTGCTTGGCGCTGATCACGCGCCCGAGGAACGGCTCGGCCACGCCCGAGTCCATGTCCCCCGGGACCTTGTCCAGGCCCTTGGACTCCATGGGGGCGCCACTCATGCTGGTGCCCTTTTCAGTGCCCGCGCCGACCACAAAAGGGCACTGGGCTCTGGCGGCAACGTAGTGGAGCTTCTCGTCCTGCTTCGCCTTGGCGGTGGACAGATAGGCCTTGGCAGCGGCGTTCGCGTCCTTCAGTGAAACATGCCATCGTCGGTCAGCACCCGTACGACGGACAATCTTCTTTTTGTTCGCTGTAGCTTTGGTCTTGAGTTTTGCTTCATCCTCCTTCGCAACGGCCTCGGCCTGCACGAGCAGCTCATAGGCCTCCGCCCAGGCCTTCTCCTCCAGATGAACGACAACGCCAGGGGCGTCCGCAAGGCGATCGTCTGCGCCACGAGCGCCCCCGCGTGGAGGATGTAGGTCGGAACGCACGTCAACCAGAAGAGGGTGATGATCAGCATGAAAGGCATGGGCATCGTCGCCAGGAGGGGAAGGATCGTCTCGTACGTCTTCAGGAGGAAGGTCGGCTGGTTGGTCGGCAGCTGGATGAGGCTCGGCACGGCCATCCGCGCCAGGGACGACCGCAGGAGGAACCGCCTTGGCGCCTGCGTCCGTCGTGGTCTTCTCCGCTGCATCCTTCTTCGCTTTGGCCTCAGCGTTGGCGAAGGCCTTCTCCACGCGAAGCAGGCGCTCAACAACGGGAGTAACCGCCTCCACCGTCCTTCGCGCTATGACCTCCGCCGCCAGCGTCTGCGTCTTCGTGAACGCCTCCACCGCCTCCAGCCGCGCGGACAGCGCCTGGATCTGGAGCTGCAGGCAGTCCGTCGCGCACTCCTCGGCCTGCTTCCTCGCCGCACCCTCGAGCAGGGCCACGCGGACGCAGAGGTCGTCGAGGTCCAGGCCGAGCACTTCTGTCACATCCCCGTGCTCCTCCCCGCTCAGGGCGTCGAGGCGGCATCCAGCTTCACCACGTTGTGCAACACCACGCGGAAGGTGGGCAAGCACGTCTGCATCTGGACCCTCATGTAGAGCAGCACCACGCGATAGGTGGGCAGGAGCGAAATCATCAGGCACGCCAACATCTGGACCATCATGCAGATCAGCGCCACGCGAACGGTGGGCACGAAAGACAGCATCTTGCGGAGCTGGAGGGGCCGCGCCTGCAGCCACCCACGCTCCAGGGGCCAGCCAACCGGCAGGGGCGACAGGAATAGCTTGTTGCAGGCAGACCTGGTGGCGGGTCGTTTGTGTGGCAACATCAGCACGAGCACCCTGAGCCAGACTAGTGCGTGCGCGTCCAGTGGGATGTGCAGCAGCAGCCATTCCGTGATGTTCCCAACGAAACCCAGCATCGTCACGGCTGAGGTCCGCATCAGCAGAAGGATCAGGAGGGCCAGGGTCGTCGGCTGCATCCGCCCACGGTGCCCGCTTCGGCACGGTATTCACAGGCTTGGCGTGGGGTACCTGCTCAGCCACACCGTCCGTGTCGTGCTTGGCACGGTCGGCTCCTTCCAGGAGGCGGCGAGCTGCGGTGTGCTGACGCTTGTCCATGAGCCCAGCCCGCCAGGCTCGGTGCGCCGCCTGCTTCCCAGACGTGTGGGGCCGCCCCAGAGCGCGGTCCAAGCAGGCGTGGAGCGACTTGCCCTTGGCCATCTCCTTGATCGCCTGCTTGTCTTCCGCCGCCACCTCCAGGAAGCGCATGCCAGGCCTGGAATGCGCAACGAACCGGTAGTGACTATCACGGGCACGACGCGCGGCCTGCGCCGCAGACAGCTCCAGTCCTCCCTGCAGAGCACTCACATATGATCGACAGCACGGCATGTCGTACAGGCCCACGCTGGAGTAGGAGAGAAAGCAAAAAGTCACGAAGGCAGCCACGGCGACAGCAGCCCAGCAGCCATCGCGCGAGACGCCCACCCGCTGGTGGGATGCCGAGACATCTTGATGCATGAGCTCTTGAGCCAAAATGGCTACGGAGGAGGAGGAGGAGGATGCGCAGAAGGAGGGAGGAGGAGGAGGAGGAGGAGGAGGAGGAGGAGGAGGAGGAGGAGGAGAAGAGGAGGAGGAGGAGGAGGGGGAGGAAGGCCCAAAAGCTCGAGCGGCGAACTCATGGCCGTCTCGGCGCCCTCGCGCTCGGGATCTTCGTCCGGGGCGCGCTCTCCCGCGGCTATAATATAAGCGGACGCACGGGCAAAGCCCCGCGCGGGGGGCACTTCTGCGAAGCAGCGCCCCGCATCCGCGGGGTCGCGGCCCACCCAGACCCCCGACGGCAGGATGTTCGACAGCGTCGACCCCCAGAGGCCTCGACCCCTTCCCCGGGACCGGTCTCGCATCGTGGGTCTTCTTGTTGACGGCCCCGGGGCCAGGTACAGGACCCCAGAGGCCGAAAAGAGCGAACCACCTCCCGTGGTGACTTCTTGTCCTGACTCGAGGGGGTCTGGGCCTGTCGCCCACGGAAGCGCAGGCCCAGACCTGCTCGTGCGGTCCCAAAACTCACGGCGGGATGTTGCTGGCAGTTTTTCCGGCCTCCTCCGGGGGGCCCGCGCGCCGAGAACGCCTCGGGAGAGCACGCTTGCCCTGGGGAAGGGGCCGGGACCTCTGGGGGGGCACTGGGCAAGAGCAGAGCGAGAGTGAGGACCGGACGTCTGGGGCGAGGGCGGACGGAGGGCCCAGAGCGGGGGGCCAAACACCTCCGACGCCTCCTTGCTTCTACTTCTCCCCCCCCCAGAAGAGAGAAAAAAAAACCGCCGACAGTACTCCAGCTTTCGTAATAAAAGGGAGGGGGTCTGGATCCACCAGGACGAGCCATTTCAGACCCCCCCCCCGTGGGAGAACCCTCCAAAACATCGTCCCCAGACCCCCCCAGGCCCTCCAAGATAGCCTGGAAGAGACCCCCCCCCGAAATGAGACCCCCCTCCCTTTCTTACGACATCTGGAGTACTATGGCTGCTGCCTCGCACGCGTCTGCTTCCCTCCTTCCGGCCCCCCGGGGGCTGCTTTTTGCCAAGGGCGCCTGCCTTCGCGCCTCGTGCCGCGCGAGAGCGCCCACGGTTTCGCGCTCCCGCTCTCGCCCCCCCCGGGGGAGAGGAGGAGGAGGAGGAGGAGGAGGAGGAGGAGGAGGAGGGGGAGGAGGAGGAGGGAGGAGGAGGAGGAGGAGGAGGAGGAGGAGGAGGAGGAGGAGGAGGAGGAGAGGAGGAGGAGGAGGAGGAGGAGGAGGAGGAGAAGAGGAGGAGGAGGAGGAGGAGGAGGAGGAGGAGGAGGAGGGGAGGAGGTCGCACGCGTCTGCTCCTCCTCCGGGCCCCCCAGGGGGCTGCTTTTTGCCAAAAGGGCGCCTGCCTTCGCGCCTCGTGCCCTCGCGAGGGCGCCCACGGTTCGCGCTCCCGCTCGCTCGCTCGCCCGGGAGGAGGAGGAGGGGAGGAGGAGGAGAGGGGAGGAGGAGGAGGAGGAGGAGGAGGAGGAGGAGGAGGAGGAGGAGGAGGAGGGGAGGAGGAGGAGGAGGAGGAGGAGGAGGAGGAG